GTTGATAAAAGTCTTACCAGAACTTGTTCAGTAAAAGATGATAGAGATATCCTGGCAGACCCAAAAACATGTAATGACATCCAAATGCCTATGAATGATCCTCTAAACATGATGAAAGTAATGGTTAAATTATCACCGACGTCAAAGAGAGAGGGATATTATTCCGTACCTTCTGCTTCTAAAAATCATGCTCAGTTATCTAGCGGAGTATCCAAAAATGTAATATATACTGCCATAAAGAGCTTCCATTGGACAGAGAGATCTGCCCCTTGTAAGGCAGATTTCACTTCACCTAAGGAGAATGTGCACATCATAGATGGTATGCATGACATGCAATTATCTAATGTATAAACTCATACATCACTGTATAATTTCTTATAAAACTCAATAAGATTTAAACAGTAAATGCAGTCTTATTTTTGCTGTTGGACAGAAGACCAGAATACAGTACAACACTTACTAGTTTAACAGTCTTCCATTATTCATTCTCGTATCTTTTCCTTCTTTGCCTGAAAAAGACTATGAGTGTGCCTCCCTTTACATACACACACATACACACTGTCTGCGCACACATCCACACACACACATATATATGTGTGTATATATGCACGTATATACATATATACACACATATATACATATATGTATACATATATGCTTATGTATGTATATATGTATATATGATACATATATATGTATGTAGATATGGATACTTATATACATGTGTGTGTATATATGTGTGCATACGTAGTATGTCCTCCACAAGAAAAACTGGAATGACAATGAAAAAAATTACTAGCTACTGTATCTTTCATAGGTGCATTTCTTTTTCCTTAAATACTCTCAAATTCTCATACAAATATTTTTGTACCAAAACTGTTGTTTTTATGCCTCATTCCTCCTATAGAGATGATGGGAAGAAAAGCAAATGTTTCATCTCCATATTATGCAGAAATTAATTGACTGGAAGAAAGTTATATTGATTCTAGCTAAAAATACCCTGCTTTCAGTTGTCATCCTCAAATCATATGCTTTTTAGGTTGTCATGCAAATGCATGAGATTAGTATACACCCCATTTAATCGGATCATGATTTCCTGCTATTTTAATTAACCTTTATTGGCATACCTATATAGCCAAGAAAGTATTGTTTGTGAAGCCCCATTAATGACATTATTATTTGTTAGGCTTATTTTTACATTTTACCCTTCAAATTCTTTAGACAAATAATAAATCTGTGTAGCCTAGGATTATCGATAGGCTCTTTGTTTTGTTATGTTTTTTAACAATATGTTTAAAAGTTAATTTTCTGAGAAAAGGATGCTTAAGAAAGTAGTCTCACTCCTACCTTGCAGAGAGAAAAACTGAGGTAGAGATTATATGGTTTGCCCCTCCCTGTGTAGCAGATCTGGCCAATACTGGGTTCAGTCTGTGATATATGAGGGAGAACCCAGATAATTCAGATGTTTAGGTTCAATATTTAATGATCCTTTCCACTTTACATCCTTCTTTACCTCGCACTGATATTTCCTGACCTGATTATGGGTCATCCTGCCAGGAGACGATCCAAATCATTATTGAGTTTTAACTCAATCCTTTTTTCTGACTATGAGGTCTATAACTCAATACCCATATTAGTCAAATGTCTGAATCTTTCTGCTAAAGTCAAAGGCTGCCTGGCCACAAAAGCACGTTCTGAAGCTTCTGAGTCAAAGAGCCACTCATAATGGAGTATAACAAGAAATGTTATTTTACACTCATCTAGAAGCACTGGTGCCCAGAAGCAATTTGGTGCAGCCATTAAAGCACCACGGTGGCAATGGAGCATTTATTTCCTGGAATGGCATCTCTGCAGCTAATCCCCACTGACCTGAAGACTTGTTGTCAGGAAAAAGATAAGGTTGAACAGAAGCTCAGGTGATCAGCTAATCCTTCTTTCTGTCCTAAGGTACCATCCTCTGCCCGCTTGTGTTTCCTAACCCACAAAATGAGTTCCTGAAGACTGTATTTTGGCAGATTTTCCAAGATCTTCAAGACACGAGAATTTTTCTTCTTTTCTGCTATTTTTCTTCTTTGACAGTAGACTCTAACTCTGTATGTTATTTCCTTCTACTATAAAGTTATTGTAGAAGAAGCTCAGCAAAGCCTCCCCCACTCTTAATTGAATCCCTTCCACTTTCACTGGGAAGACAGAGTAATTTAGATGATATGTAGCTGATTAGTTGTTCTCAGTGGAGTTTGAATGAACCGTCTTTACTATCACCTTGCTCTGTATAAATACAGCCTTATCTCAGCAAGAGTAATGTCTGCTGCTCTGCATCCACCATAGATTGCACACTTTAAAGAATTAGCCTGGCCTCACTTCCTTTTTTCTTTTTTTTCTTTTTTTTTTTTATAGACCTACTAAAATACATGTGTTGAAGTGGGATTTTCCAGTAGCTGCCATTTGAATCGTAAACACAACCCTCCATACAAGTACAAATCACAGCTTTGGCCTTATGGGCCACTCCTGAAACAGCCTTGTGAATGAGAAATCACAGCACATCATAAATCCTATCCAATATTGAAACACATGCAGAGATAACAAGGAAGGAATGGGCCCTGTTTGTTCTCTGTTATGCTGTCAAATCTACAGCTGCTTACCCCTTGACAAACAAGCAAAATATTTTGTATTTCACCCATCATCTGCAAGCAGACAAGAAGGTGGAATTTAAGAGACAGATATATCATGGTTACCTCTTTAGATTTTCATGGTTTTTTGAGTAATGTTACTTACAAATCTTTGTATTGTTATTTACCATTAGATGAGACATAGTTCATAGTAAAATATTAAATGTGAGAGAAAACAATGTTTTCATTAACTGCAAATGTGGGGAAAATAGCAGATGACATGGTGGGAACTGAAGAGAAAGAAGCAGTGAGAGTTAATTTTGGACATTTAGTGTTCTGAATTTCTTTTGTCAAAGTTATTTCTCAGTTTCATGTTGGTGCTATGAGAGAAATCCTATTAATACTATGGAAAGATATCACTTGGTTCAAAAGATATTTGAATACCAAATCAACACAAGCCCACTGACAAAGCACTGAATAACCAACCATAGATGTTTTCCCCATATGGATCAGGTGCCACATGTCATATGATAAAAGGAACAGTAAGTTTATTACAAGAAACTAGGAAATACTATTCCCCAAAGTAGGTTTTCTCTGCTCACTGTTACGCTTATGGCTAAAACCATTCTCAGTTCTCTTCTGCCTGGATACCGTTTACCTAAAGAAGCTATACATGTTTTATTTCACATACTCCTTTTTGCTACAATTAAATATACAGGAAAGGAAACTACACGTTTTAAAACATTCTTCCTCAGAGGGAATTAGTTCACAGGAGTCTCCTCATATATCTTCTGTCCCTTAATTCTGAGGTTGTCCAAGTATAGCCTGCCCCTAATAAAGGGGGATTTTAGGAAAAATGCAACAAGACCTATCTGGTACACTCAATATGCTACAAGGTGCCACAAGATAGCTCAAGTGTATGCGGGTGTGTCCTGGCTTGAGGTAAAACAAAACCATTTTTCTGTTCAGTAATTTTACTTTGCAGCTAAGCCTCTTCTAACTAACTGAGCTCTCTGAAATTAAGTGTATTTTTAAGACTGTAGTCCACTTCCAGAGTGATAAAACCTGATTTTTTTGTAACTTATACCAAGGAATGACATACAAAGAAGCTCTTGCTTATAATTATTGCTATCACAACCAAGGTCAGCTAACCTTGCTATGTGCCATGTTGGAGAGTCGGAAGCTGAAAAGCATAGAGGAGCTGCACCTGTGGGGAGGAGGGGACAGGGCAGGTGACCAACAGGGTATTCCACCCCATCTGCATCAAGCTCAGTGTAAAAGTTGAGAGATCAAAGGGTCAGCTCTCCTTCTTCAATGATTGGCATCTGAGGAGGACTCTCACTGTTTGTCTGCCTTTGATCCTGTTTCTTGCGTTCCAGTCCAGAACCCAGTTTCCATCTGTCACTGGGTCCATTCTGGGACTTTCCCAGTGCCTGCTGGTGATGTGATGGTCATCCTGGGTCTTGATATGTCTTTGTATATATTGTATATAATTCATTAATTTATTTTTATTATTGTATTAATATTTCCATTTAAGTAGTTCAGCTTCTTTTTAAGCTCATAAGTCTCTTTTCTCTCTCATCTTTCTCTCCCTGAAGAACGCTGGAACAGGCTGCCCAGAGAGATGGTGGAGTCTCCATCTTTGGAGACATTCAAAACCCACCTGGACCCATTCCTGTGCAACCTGCTCTAGGTGGACCTGCTTTGGCAGGGAGCTTGGACTAGATGATCTCCAGAGCTCCCTTCCAACCCCGTATCACTCTGTGATTCTGTGAAGGGAGATGGTCTCTTTTCTCTGAAGGGGGGAAAAGTAAAAGAGAGTATCTGTCATTTGTTTTAGTGGCCAGGCAGCTGAAACCATTACAGGGTATTTAATGAATTCTGTAGCAGCAAACAAAAGTAACTAAGTTTTTTAAAAAGCAGCTTTTGTGGAGCTTATAGTATCATATTTCTCATTTTACAGAGAGGGAAAATGGGATACAGACAGTGAATGATTTATGCAATATAACATATTGCAAAATAACTTTATGCATAATATTATGCAAAATAGCATAAGAAAAGTTAAACCAGGAACAGAATCCAGAATGTCTCATTCACGTATCTGGGTTTTGCACACCAGTATATCTATTTGGTATTTGTATATTTGAGGGGAAAGATTATCAAGGCCTCAGAAGACCCTAAAAGCTCACAAATTGGGTCAGGCATCCAATTCTCATTTTCTTTGAAAATGTGACTCTGCAGTCTTCCAGTGGTAGAAGACCACCATTATGTGTATGACACCGGATCTGAACCTCTTTAGCAGGGCACTGTATGAAACGGAATTAATTAACCATACTGCAGCGAAGTGTCAATAGCCTGTTGTTGAACTTCTTTCTGTATGCTTAATTCCAGCAGAGAAAACATTTTTCATTGGACAAGGCCAGAAGGACGATTTCTTTATAGCAAGGACTGTTGAAGAGGTTCCTGGATGGACCATTAATCAATTAAAGGTTTGTCATTCACTTGTTCAATTCTCTCTTCTTTCTCTTGCCATTAATGGTTTAATATTCTGCCAAATACAGGTTAACCTCTATGTTTCTGATGAGTGGAAGATGGTGACTTCCAGATAAAAAAAGTTTCAGAAAAGCTTGCTCACACGTACAGTGTCCTACCTCATGAATAATTACTGGCCCCATACCAGTGAGCATATATAGCAACCTGAAGAACTTCTTTTTAGTCTACTGAAGCAATGACTTTAACGGAGATTTACTTAAGAATTGTTTTATCTCTAGTTTATTTTTTAAGTAGATAAATACAGGAAAGGTCTGAACAACACATTTTCTTATGATTAAAAGCACAAGAAAAAGTACAGGGAATCATTTCCCTTGTACCAAACACACAAAATATACTTATTTAACCAACATTCAGTAATATACAATCTGGGAATCAGAATAATCAGAAAACCAGGTTGATCTTCTTTCTTGTTTCTGGTACCTCACATTTTTTACCTGCTATAGCAGCTCTCCATAAAAGTAAAGGAAGACAACTTCCTTAGGAGGCATTTTTTAACAGCATTCAAATCCAGAAATGGTACTTGTACCCAGTAAAATTACAAGTACTTGTACAAGCACACAGTAAGACAGCTACTGAAGGAAAGAACAAGGTTGGTAGCTTTAAAGTGAATTCTTTATCCAAGGCCTTTTCTCAGTGAAAAGTAGATGTCTATACATATATTAAAAAACCCCCGATACAAACAGCTAGGCGGATATCAAGCAGAGATAACATGACATCTCAACAGCTAAGCAGGGAGAGCTCCCACAAGTAATTTGACGGAGTGCAAAACTAAAGTTGTGTAGCCTTAGGCAAGGCATGATTGGAGCTTGCATTGAATTGACCACTGGAAACCCATTGTTATGTTAATTTTCACAGCAGATGCTTGGCAGAAGCATTAAGATGGGACAAAAATATGCCATAGTTCTGTTACTGTCAGTTATTTATAAGAAGATACCAACACATTGAACCTGTGGTTTCATTCCCATCAGTGGTCCTCTTTGTTGGATGGTGCTTTTGCCTGGCAGCAGAAGGCAAGCAGTTATCCCTCTTTACTGGGAGCCCCTACTGGCGTTGTGCTGAGAAGCTGAAACAATCAGATAATTCACTGTGAATTTGTTATTAGTTTCACTTATTCTGAAACTACATTTAATGGTTTTTTGGTTTTTTTTGCAAATAAGTTTTTCAGCTGTTCACCAAATTCTGCTGCACAGCTGTGGAATGGTAAGCCAGACCACATAGGTGCTCAATTTATTATGAAATACTGCATCAACGAGACAAGAAACAACATAACACACCAACATATTGGCCTGGATATATGTGAATTGTAAAACCAGTATCTAGACATTGAAGCACTACAAATATTTAAATATTATCCTGCAGCCACAGTCAACCTGGCACAGTTGATCTTGAGGACTTAGGTCATCGTGTTAATGTTATCAAAGGTGACTGCAAGGTAACAACTTCACATAGGTATCATATTGTTTACATGTAATAACAATGTGAAATGTTTCTTTGTGAGGAACTTGGTAGTATTCTTGACATAACAAAGAAGTTTGTAGCTCTTTAGTTGGCCTTAATGACAATTTCTAAAAAATCTTTAATTACACCAAAGTCACCTTGGTTACCATACCACAACATACAGTCTACGACAAAATCATCCCTCCCTAGCCCACCGTATCCAGTGGCCTGAGAAAAATTTTCTATGATCTCCATTATTCCAACTTCAAAACCAGTCAATTAAAAGACAAAGGCCTCCAGACAACAAAAGAAAGATACACATGTCAGTAGCATTCATATCTTCCACTTTCCCACTAAAAAATTGACACCTCTGGTCATATGATCAATTTAAATTAGTACCAATACAGATTCTTGTCCTCAAACATTAAGATTTTTATCAGAAGACAGAGACATATAGATTTCATGAGAAGTGTCCTTTTCTCCAGAGTCCACCATTATTTCATATTTGGGATGGCTGCTATGGACAAGTGCAAGAGCAGGTCATCTTGTGCTGTGAAAGAGTAGAGCAAAATGACCATCTGTGTTGTGGGATCACACAGACAAAATTTATAATGATAAAGAAGGAAAGGGACCAATCCACACGTTGGAACCAAGCGGTACCGATTTCTTTACTCTTGGAGTTACCCTGATCTGTAGCAGATTGGGGAGCAACTAGGGGAGCGGAGAACCGTGGAAGCCAGTTGTTAGTGCTGCAGTGTGGACAATCACAGTCTGAATGTTCAAGTTCCCCTCTTATTTATCAATAGAGACCAATCTTCACTGGCTGAGAATTACAGTGATAGCTGAAGAACTATTTCTGATCACAGCAATCAATCAGGGCAAGTAATTCAGTTTGACTAACAGGATGAAATTCCGGATTAGTATTACAAAACCAAAGACTGCTCTTACTTGAATACAGATGCCAAAACCATGTACCCTTCTATGGTAAACCACCCCAGCAGGAAACCATTTCCCACCCAGACATAAGAAGTTTTTGAGATTTGGTTTCCATATATAAACTGAATCCTTCTGGACCCTGAAGCTAAGACAGCAAGGGTTCCTTGGCCCCCATCTGCAGAAGATGTAGGTAAATTAATTAAAAAAAAAAAGTAAGCTGATATGGAATCAAGTCTTGTCAAATGTCGGGCATCTCTTTCAACCCCCAAAAGGTATGCAAGTTTAGAAAAGATTGTAGGAATGCAAAAATTTCCAATTATTTTTTCCTCAAAGAACCTAGAAGATTTATCTAGGGCCGCAAATAATTGCATGAGTGGAGCTCTCCAATGTCATAATGTTAACTTTTTATTGTGTTTGAAGATGAGGAGGTTGGCTTCATTTCATCTGGCTGTGAAAAAATTTAGCACTTTATCCTAGTTGCTTTCTAGTAGGGCTGATTCTGCATCTGGCAGTGCGCCGGGGTATAAGAGTGGAATAAGGAGACAAACTATAATCTGAAGAGATTCTGGACATAAAATACTATGTTCTGTATAATATGTTATTGTTATTACTGTTAATATTTGTGAATATCACAGTGCCTGGAAATCGTAGTCCTAGACCATGGTCACTCTCCACTAAATACCATGGTTTCTACTACTACAGACTAACTTCTGTTCAGGGAGAGTACCTGCTATTTTATTCCTTTGGGAAGATTTTCGTTCTGTTAACTAATAAAAATAAACCAACAGCATCTTAATTTGGGTTGGATGGACTGCTGTGCCTTGTTTCCATTGACAGGAACCAATTTCATGTCAATGCAATAGCACCCTAAGTTCTAGCTGATTTCTCTATCTTCCTGCTGCCTGGGAGATTTCAGCTTTACATAAAAGGAAACTGAAATATAGAGAAATTATTTGTTCAAGATAACAGGGCAGGTTCTGCCAGAAACAGGAATAGAAACTGTGGATGGTAAGTCACACCACCTATTCCAAATAACAGACCAAAGCGTCTCTTCATTCTTGAGCTTTATCTAATGCGTCTAGGCAATTACCAGGCAAATTCAAGGTACAATGCCTTTTTTATTTAAGTTCTTTGTATTCTTGTTCTGAATTTTAAAAAAGGCAACTTTATTTAGATGTCATTGCTAGTTATAGAAAATACTTTGGATTTCCTTTGTTCAGAAGGTAGGGAGGAATCAAAACAATTCTATTTAATTATTGTTGTAATTTTACTTAGTGTAGAAAAACAGTTTGTCAAGTTGACAGGGAAGGAGTTTATAGACCTAGTTGTTGTACTTGGAGTAAAAAATACATCACTTGACAGTTAAACAGAAAGAGAAGTTCTCAATTCTTAAAATTGTGCAAAACCTTGAAATATAATAGAAAACTATGCTGTGAAAGTGTAATCAAAGCTAGCTTGTTTTGTAAATCATTGACAGGCACAGAAGCAGATTTTTTTTTTTTTTTCAAAAAAGTGATACTTCAGTGAGACACTGAAATACACTTAATTGACAAAGCTAATACTTCCCCAGAAATTTTACAAATGCAAGTATGTGTCTCTCATTTCACTGTATTAATATCAGCTCAGTACACCAGCACAGAAGAGAGAGTTTGTAAACTGAAATGGACTGCCCCAAGCTAACACAATACAAATTAGATAATGTATTTATGTCACTTGAATAATGTTTTACACTCCATTGGTAGGGAATGATCGACTGAAGAGGGATGTAAGAAATACGCTGGCTAATAGGAACTCTCATTAGCTGCAAACCGAAGTAGACTTGTGAAGGAAATCAATACCACCTCAGCATCAGGATGATGACAGTGAACCTTCATCTGCAAGTCCTTGCTCATCGCAATTGAGGTTTGTCATGGAGCTGGTCCCTATTCAAGTGGAAGGGACTAACATCACAGTAAAGATTTACAGGGCGAGATCCACAATGAAGTTTTCATTCTGGTTTTGCCCAGAATGAAGGTTATTGAATCTCAAGAAATCATTAAAACAAACAGATCAGGTTATACCATGAGGACAGCTCATTTTCCTTTATTAAATGGAAAGAATGAGATGTGACAAGGGCCAGAAGACTTAAGGAACAAGACTGGTGAATCAGTTGATATGATCTCACCTGGTCTAAATGAGAAGCGGTAAGATGAAAAGATGAAGAATTTTTCATGGAACATCTTGCTCTACTAGTACATACAAATGGGATTTCTGAAGACTGACAACTGTAAAATTGTCAAGGACAAAACCACCTGAGTGTTTCACAAAAATACTTTACACTGATACAAGGGGAGTACAATGTATAACTGATGTCTCTATGCTTGAACCATTAGCAGTGAATTACAGCTGTAATAATTTAAATTATTTATTCTAGATCCTGGCGTAGGTGGGGAGAGGAACTGTAGGCATCGTGTTTCACCCTGTACATGTTGGGTTGGTATTTATCAAGATTTCATCACAATGTTGTGGCTGTGATATCTCTAAAATAAAAGCAGGTTCCTTTTGTGAATGAGAGTAGAATTTAACTCTTTTGGTTAATACCTAGCGAAAAAAGGAGTATTCCTCCTTCTTCTCAAAGTATTTGATACATAACTCTGCCTCTTTTTCATTTAGGAACAAAGCAAGCATCATCATTATCCTTTCTGTAAGTTGGAACACCTTAGTCACCTCAGAAATATATACCTGGAAAACACTATCTTTCTCCTACCTTACACTAAGAAGTTTTGGGGGCATCGTAAGCTAAGACTCAAGTGTACAAAAACACATGAGGTATTACAAGTAGTAAGAAAATAAGAGAATCCATGACATCTCAGACCAAAGGCACAAATAGATTATTATGTTGAGTTCAATAGTGTTCAACAGTGGATGCTTATGTAGTGAGTATAAGAAATTGGGCAGCCTTAGGGTGAATATTCAGTATTATAAGACCTAAATTCTAGTCCATGTGGAGGAATCGATGATAGTTAGCTTTCTTTTACAAGGAAAGGTGATGAAGGACCATCAGCAAACAGGGAAGCAAAAGATGAAGAGAAACAAGTCCTGGTGAAAAACAATATTTGAGGCAGAACCTAATCAACCATTTCCATTCACTGAAGATTTGAAACCCTATCAGCTTTTCTGAAAGATGCCTACAATGCTTATGCCTCTTTCCAAGTGTGGGATATGGATGCCTCTTTCCTTTCCAAGGAATCACAAAATGGTTGGGGTTGAAAAGGATCTCTGATAGTCATCTTGTCCTCAGTGCCAGAGAATACCCGCAACATCCAGAGAGTACTCACAGGTCATGACCATAACATGAGAGAGCTGCATCCAGTTTCTTCCACTGCCTATCAGAGACTCAGAACTGCAGCTCTCACCCCCTGGGAGAGGACTCCAAACACCAGCTCAGAGGTGACTGGCATAATCTATGGAGTAATCTGTTAGGATTAGGACAGCTACAATCCCTAGGACAAAAAAAAAAAAAGAATGGAGGAGAGAAAATGCAAATATGATGCAAATTCTTAAAATCCACAGCTGTAGAAATGCCTTTGGACAGGTAATTTCCATGTTGCAGTTCACACTCCATAAGATATCTGTGCATTTTAGACATCAGTCACCCATTCTATGTACAAAACCCTCGGAGTGCATCCTCAAACTCCTGTATGCTCATCCTATTAACCACTAAGCTATGGAAGACGCATTACAATGTGCTCTTCCCGCCCCCGCTTCCTTGCCAAATATATACAAACTCTATATAAAACAGTAAGTACTCAATAAAGTGCAAAATTTTAAGCTCTTCTCCCTTTTGCTTTTAGTAGGAATGAAGCAACTAATTTGTTGTGATACCAGAATGCAGAGAGTGAAGTTACTATTTATATATTGCTTAAATAGATATATATATAGTTATACCTTAAGGTACCTGATTTCCTTAGAGAATCTATCCTTCCTGCTTTTCCTGAGATCAAGGTCTGTAGGATGTCAGAAGAACAGATGAAAAATCACATGCCTTGCTTAAATAAATACTACTACATTATATTATACTATACTAATTCATCATAAACTGTCAGAAAAGCAACATTTTCAGATTGTGGAAGCAATTATCTTTCTCCTCCAACTTTTTAAATTGAAGAACAGCTTGATATAGAACTGGAAGCTGGAAGAAAGAGATTTAATGCAACTTCATAGAATCATAGAATCGTCTAGGTTGGAAGGGACCCTTAAGATCAAAAATAATGTCTGATATTGTAAGTTGATAGTAACTTCCTCATTTTAGATACTTCTGACAACACTTGTAATTTCTGTTTGGTAGAAATCTTAGCATGGTGTCAGAATATTTGTTGATGTGAAATCAAGAGTGTGATTATTTTTTATTATGATTTTTGTGTTATACAGAGCTGTGTGAAAAAAAGATACACTTATAGAAATAGATGGTCTGAGGATTCTTCTTTTCCTTTTATGGATGCTTTGTAGGAGGGGCAATAGAATTTTTACTTGTATATTGTGGGGAATCACTCAACAAAATTCACTTAATAGACTTGAAATGCACAATTTAGTGCTAAGGTGAGCCCCAATAAAGATACTAAGAGGTCTCCTTTAGTTAGGTTCTGGTTTTGCAGAATGACTGAAACTGGTCATTAGAATTTATCACACTATGCTGCCATTCATTGGCTCAATCAAACTATTTAAATAAGAGTACTGGTGGACTGATACAAGAATTTCTGGCTTTGGTCTGCTAATCCCCCTTTAAATTTCTTGAATTTTTTTAGTGGGAAGGGATGGATCCTTGACCAGATGGCACTGTTGCATTTTCAAAAACTGATTTCTCTTGCTTTTACTACAATAATACTCTTTTTTTTTTTTCATACGGACCTGAATGCATCTGTGTTTCTGCTTCACCTACAAAAAGTCCTAAAAACCTTGGAAGTAAGTACCCATTTATAGTACATGTAGCACTTAATTTTGCCACAGTGATTTCTGTGAGCGTAGACAGAATACTCTCAAATGGAATGTACAACAGAATAATAGCTGCTTGATAACATCAGTAATTTTTTCATTACCCTTCAGAAGTTGAATTCTGACTCAACAGTGCCGTTTCTCTACCTTCACATATTTTTGTGTTATTTTTTTGAGTAAAAATTATTAGATTTTTGTTAAAATGAACAAGTAAAATGAACATTGTAAAATGAACAAGTTTTTTTAATGACCTAAGAAAATGTTTTTTTAAAGCTTGATATTCCGCTTAACTAGGTTAATCTAAAATTTGAAAAAAAACAACCACAACCTTGATTAGTCAATTAAATTAACATTAGAAAAATCTGTTACAAACACAATTCCAGCTGCTATTCATTAATAAGTGCATTTTTAAGTATTGGTTAAAAGAAGAGTTTCCAAATGAGATATTTTTGCGTGGTGGTTTTTTTTTTTTTCAGAAAAGAAGAAAAATCTGAAAGATCAAGATACTATTTTCTTAATTTAGACACATTAAAATATGTAAAGATTAAATGGTTTGACAGAAACCTTGTAAGAAAAGTGATTGTAACTTTAAGTACAAAAAAACTCTCTTAGATTTTCACTTTAATAGATGCAATTTAAAATGCCAAAGTATGCATGCATAATACAAATTCATTAAAGTATGTACATGCTAAAGTTCAGTCCAAATGCTGGTAGGATTTATTCTTAAATTTTACATAGAATTCTATTTGGTAAAGTATTTATGTAAATCCCTTTATTAATCCAACAAGTTCATGGAATTGATAGATTTCATGAGTCTTAGTATGGGCAAAAAAATTTGCGAAGTTCAGTTTTTCTCTAGTGACCTGTTTGTATCTGCTGTGTTTTCATCTACCTCAGCAACGTTCTTACTGATTTTGACTGCTTTATCCATGAGGAAGATCAAAACAAAGGTCTCTAATTTCAAGGTCATTCACTCCGGAGAAATGTGTGGGAATATATATTTATATTCTCTGCATCTCAGTTTTCCCATGAGATGTTACAGACTTAGTTGAGATCTATAGGTCACAGCCATGCTCTCTAACTTGTTGTCAAACCCAGAATTATTTTTTTTTCTTTGGTGTAATGCTTATTACAGGAAGACATATCCACCTTCAGATCCTGTGCTACATCTCTTTCTGTCCAGCTTGGGTTATGTGGATGTACACTGAGTAACCTTTAGAAGGGGACCAGGGTGTTGGGCTTTGTGTGAGAAAGGAGACCTAACCCTTTCCTGGCCATAGAAATCTCCATTTATGACCCACCTGGAGCAATTTTTGGTGAAAGCAATTGAAATTTATCTCCAGCATCAAATCAATAACACAGCAACAAAGATTTACAAAGACATGGGTAGGAGATATAGTGGAAAGGGGGCAGAAGAAAATTAAGATAACTAAGAATGCTTAATCTAATTATCTGAAGATCAAATCCAAGTGCGCTCTCTTTCCTTCTTTGTGTCTATCTGATGTATTGTTGACATTTGCTTTACCTCCATGGCCAGAGACATGTTCTCTTGCCCATTCTGTGTGCTCAGGTTGCTATAACAGGAAATAGGCTTTTCTTGGCGAAGTGTGCTAGTTTTTGTGTTCAGTCCTTTTCTTAAGTGTCCCTGGGGTTCCATTTAGATTAAAATCCTCCTTCCTCCCACCAACCGTTATTGATCCTTAATTTATTTAGGAGGCAGTTTCAGTACTCCTTCTTCCAGGTATTGACTGCCCTTACTGCCTTGGAAATTATAATGGCCCTGCAGAAAAATAGGTGCTATCTCTTGCACTTGAGTAGACATTAAAAAATATTAACAGCTCTCCCACTCTTCGACAGACAATAAGTAAATCTCTTTATGAAGCTTTTTCTATACACTAAACTTTATATTTCATATTAACATGTAATATCCTAATCATACATCAGTGGAATTGATGCTTGTAGCTTATTAATGGGTGTTAGCTGAGACACAACTGAAAGTAAAAATATAAAAGTAGGTCTTAGTAAAGTTGACTAAACAGTTTGCTTAAGGAAAAAACAAACCAGGTCTCAGCACTTCAACTCAGAACCTGTACAAAACCTATGTACGATAGCAGCATTAGCATTAGATATCTGAGGTACCTTCTTATCACACTCTAACTCCTGAAGTTACAAAGCACAAATCCATTATTCTAAAAAAGAGTTCAGGATTTGCATGTCCTGTCAAAGATCATAATAGCATCCTGCCATGGTTACGAAAGACTATCTTTCGTGTATCACCTGGTAGAATGCTAGTCACCTGTTTACTAGTACCTCCAAATCCAGAACTAGTCCTTGAAACAACTCAAAGAATGATCAGAAAATTTCTGTTACATCCCAGTGGACAGTAGCTGACTGTCTAGCTTTATTACCTTGACAACATTTAAAGGAGAGGACATGTGTGTTCATCAGCTGTTGGACAGAGGAGAATTTGCACTTGAAAAATTAC